GATATGAGCAGGAAGTTTACTTCTTTGAATAGATATGGGGTAAAATATACTCAGATTAAATTGGAACACAATATAACACAATAGAAATGGCTAAAAGATAATATATCGAAAACGAACTAAATATAATTTATAATATACATATATACATATATAAATACATTGTGTAATTTAATTCAAATATGAACATAATATAGAACCCAATGCTTTGAAAAGTTACAAGCGTCCAGTTTTATCCTCCACTGAACTTTTACGGGACAATAATCATTGAAGATTCGATTTTATACGTCACAATCTTTCTGTAGTTACACATCTTCAACTTCCAACGTAAACAGCAATCTTTACCGGTTGAGTACGTTGAACAATCTCTTCAGTTAAAGATTCAATTATCTCTAGTTTGGACGTATAAATGAAAAAGGGCCTTTACCTTCGCCATTAACTTACATAAAAGAGATGACAGCTGGATTTCTTTCTATTAATGAATTGGAATTTATTATTGGGGGAGCAAATCAGACAATTAGGAAAAAGTTATTAAATGTTATTAAAACAGACAACTGATAATGTCTTGAGTTGTCTTTCTTTTCAGGGTTGATTTACCCTATTACAAAAAATCGGTCTGTGAATTACTAAGACCATCCGCGAACCCCAAAGGTAAAAACAAATACTTGGAGATTAACTAAAAAGTTCCTTTATACATGTTTAAGAAAATATATCTATTAATAATTTCTGGTCAGTAAACTCCTAATACAACAATTCAATGAGCATTTCATACTATCATATTAATATTACCCGTATAATAATTATTATAATTGAGGAAGGAAGTCGCGACGTAGCGCAAACAATCTCATTATTGGTAAATGTGCTAGAAGGCAAATCCTGAGTGTATTAATACGAGCAGGTACGTTTAATAAACCTAGTGAAGTTCCAAGCGTAATCAAGCAAACTCACAGTCATGCACATTTGCAGCATTATACTTAAGATTATCTACATCGTAATTTCACCTGTTAGTCAAAGGATATGTTTATTAACGGGCGAAAACAATAACTGAGTAATAATAAATTAAATTTTTAAATATATATGTTAGATTTTATTAATTATTAAGTTGAATAATTATTTAGTTACCGATAAAACAGAATGCGTGAGAATCAGCTAACTTTTTTTTTGTTAGAGTATTGACGTGTTGACCTCTCTTTTTAGCTACAGGCTTTCGCGGAACCTTTCGCTCCTCTTGCGCTCACTGAGATACGATTAGCCAGAGAGCAGTGGCGTACCAAAAAATAGATATTAACACGTATGGAAACAAGGGCAATAAATATAATTGAAAAATGTGTACATTTTTATTTGTTACTAATCATTACTGACTAACCTACAATTTTAATCTAAAAACCGTATAAACTAATTACTTATCTAATAAGTCCCCATTGGGCTGTCTTAATTGTTTCTATAGGAAAGCATTACAAGTTGGCGTGACGATTTATTACACTGTTTTACACTAGCACTAACATTAATGTTCACTGCACTAGCTCAAAGTCAATAATCCTTGAAAAAAATATTTTTTCACTTTCTATTTTACACCATTCACATTTTTTTATTTTCATTCAATAAGTTTTAGGATCAATTTTTAATAAGTTTGTCTGATTGCTGAATTAAGCATAAGTTTATTCAAATTAGTGTCAAAGCAGAGATGAAAGTTATTAACTGCAAATGTGTTTTATAATTTATCAGAGTTGATCTTTCTTTTTCCCTATCTGTCACGTTTCTAATGTAGAAATGGTACATCCAAAGTAATCGCAATCACTGTTAATTCGAAACTAAGAAACGACACAACATTTCCTGAAGCGTTCACCAAAATTTTCAGAGCGTTCGAGTCACGTTTGAAATAAATTAAATTTCACTTCCATCCTATTCTCTACCGTAGCTAACACTCGTCTCATAGTTTTTAATCATTATTACTGCAGTACGTGTGTGATTATTTTACTTTTTATTTCCTTCAATAAAGTTGGTGACAAAAAGTTGTACAAAGTGCTTTAAAATGAGTTTACACCTGTATATCACTTCGATAATGGTGTTAAGCACGGGCGTACGCAGAAATCTGTATAGGGGGATCATTATTATTATTTTAGAGGTAATTTTATTGAGAATTCAGCAAATTAATTTCGTTGATTTTGATTTTATGGCACTTTCTACAATAAAAACTGTTCGTATTGTAAAGTGTGACACTTTATTTTAAAGCTAATTTTATTAGTGATTGAATTCTGCATAAAATAATCTTTAAAAAAATGTATTACAGTTGCGAACAAGAAGTATTTAGCATATCCTCTCGGCTACGTTGTGAACTACATTAAATATATATGCTGGGTGACGAGCTAAGAATGGCCTAAGTGCTGTGGGGGTCAACCTAACCTTTCTACCTTACAGATATAGATATAATATTGAGAAAAATACCTAGGATTACTGCCTAGTGTAGCAACGCGTTTTCATATCAATGATACATAAAAAATTGAGCCATTATTTCTTTAATTAATTTTATTAATGTTAAATTAAAAATTCAATTATGTCTGAATACCTTTTATGTCTATCCCTATAAAACTTCTTAATTTGGGTCTCTTATCTGAATTGTATAGCCGAAACTTATGGTAAATTTAGGTCATTGAACACATGACCCCTCTAATGGGAATCTAAAGAACAGCTTCGCGTACGTATCACTAAATTATACGGGAGACTGTCCGTATTCAATATTCAAGAAATTCGCAGAATTCCACAGCAGTTTTTCCCTATAAAATGTTAGGGTTTTCACCTACTTTTCGTTGGAAATGTTGGCTGAAGTATGTTGAAGTACAGGTTTGCAACGAATGGCTGGATATGTAAGGCAATTTTAAAGGTTTAGAATCTATATACTGTTATTCGCGAATTTATATGTCTGAGAGTTGATAACAATATATCGAATTTTACTAGATATACAGGGTGTTTCAACTTTTAATTTTTATTTATTATGTACTTTTACCAGAAAAGTTTCAAGTAAAAGTAAGTTCAATTTGTAAATGATAAAAAATGACACTGATTTTCGCTTGATCGTTATTTTAAGTTATTTCAAGGTCAACTTTGGTTTTTTGTATAATCGTATATAGTTTTAAATGGGCTATGAAAATAAATAACGTTTTTTAAACTATTTTTCTTCTTTTTGAAATATTAACAAATATTTTGAAGATGAAATTTACTTCAAATATTGAAAATAGTACAAATACTACTAATACGATTAATACGTTATATGATCTGTATTCTGCTACTGTGAACACACGAGCCGCCAGTGACTAAAAGTATAAGAAATTAGTATATTTCAGAGTGAAATGATTTTTAATAATCAGCTACTAATAAAGAGATCATGTATATTTAGAAATTATATATATAATTTATTTATTTTTTTTTTTTACCTTTATGTAGTTCAATTTTCCCTCACAGCTCTGTTGTAATAGAAGAACTAATCCAAGGAAAACACATTTACAAAGAAGTTTCTTTCTCGAATAAATTGACCGAGAAACGTATTAACACCTTATTTGCTCTCTAAAATTACTCACATAAATCGACGCCCTCTAAGAAATAAATCAAGTCAGTCAACCTGGTCTTTATATAGGAAAATTTATATTAAGTAGGTAATTCCATTGCTTTCATCAGCCCAAATTTTAAGGGTATATAAATATTTATTATTTGATAATATCAAATTAAAAATTCGAGCTTGCTCTGATTATAAATTTATTATTCCGATTAAGTGTAGGTATTGGTAAATTTATTTCGAAACGTCAAAAAATATAAGTTAATATTTGTTCTGTCTGAATCCGGAAAATTGCCCGCATATTATGGGACACCCTGTATAATTATTCATCGTCCAATATCGCTTATGGATTCTCGATCATTGATCATCGTCATATCTTCGGAATAAACTTATTTTAAGAGGCACATTGACGGGCTAATAAACTTTTAAAAAACTAAAGATTTAATTAAAAATTAAAACTGATAAATTGCAAAATTTTAAGCAAATTAAACTAGAGGATGAAAGTTTGTTAAACTATTTACATATGCAGATGATTAGGTATTGGACCGTCAATACAGTTTTACCTCAAATGGATCTATAGACATAGCGGGATGTCGAAAATTTCGACATGAACACATGAAATTTTTATTTTCTCATCAGTCAACATTTGATGGATAATCGATGAAAAACATAGTTTGCATATACGGTTTAAAAAGTTTCCAGTCCATGTTTTTGTCTTAGATTGATTAGATGATATGACTTTTATATAGTTTCTTTATTTTTTAAAGTTCAGAAACAAAATATACGGTATGTCTGAAAGTCTGTAACTATTGTTTGTTTCTCATAAAATTGAAAATTGTAATTTGATGAAAGTGCATGATACAAAACTTAACATAAATTTCATAAATACGTAAAAAATATGAATGTTTCTCAAAACTTTACAATTATTATTTATTAGCAAATTTAAAATCACATTCACCTAAATAAATTTTTTTCTTTGTTGTAACGGGAAAAATAAACTTTTATATATGATATAAATTTCGACAAATATATTTATATAATGTAATAGTTTTTAATAAAAATAATATATTTAAGCTGTTTTTTAAATAGTTTAAATTATCTTGTTCTAGCCTATTTGCAACATATTATATATATTTGATTTAGTCAAGGAAAAATTAAATTTATTAAAGTGTTAATAAAAAATAAAGATAGATAACTAACAAATTTTAAATATCTCATAATTAAATAAAAAATATTGACAAATGTTGGCTTCAAGTCTTTTCATTAAATTGTGAAACAAAATATCAGAAATAAATGTTGAGTTAAATTTTGTATCATCTTCTTTATGTAAATATTTGTTTATTTATTCAATGTATTACTTTCTGTCTTAGTTTGAATTGAAATTGATGAAGAATAGAGCATTAGAACATTGCTATATAGTAAACAAAACGGTATTAAAAAGAGAGGTACTTACTTTGTAGATAAATACTGAATGAAGATCTGAAACAAAAAAAAAAAATAACATTAAAAAATAATTTATCAAATATAATGATCAACATTGTTTGAAATTATTTTCCTTCAACAACAGAATTGTACGAAATGAAGGCCTCTCCATATTTTTCATTAATTTTAAAATAATTATTCGAATTGTCTCCATCTATAAGATACCTATTTACCAAACCATTGTAATTTCTCAAAGACTTTTCAAGATCATAAGAAATAAAACATTTCGACTTATAAAGGGGAAAATACTTGAGAGACTTTGAGAAATATTTTTAAACGCGCAATACTTTTTCTCTTGTCTGCTTCGAATGTTTTATTCTTCTTTTTAAAAGTAGCATTTCCTTCAAAAATCAAACAGCTTCAAGCGGTCAATTATTAAATTTCATTCCTTTTGGACGAAATATCATTATTTGAAAAAAAAATATAGAATAGCTTAAAATAAAATAATAAAATATAACACTTTTTTCCAGAAATTAGACAATGAATTAGTTGATTAATTAATTTCACTTGTTTTATACAAAACTTTCCATTGGTTATTTCATCAAAAGTTACAAGTAATTGCAAACATAATTTCAAGTTATTATGTTTCAACTTATTTCACAAAGCGATTGAAATAAATCAGAAGAATTTGCTAGTAATAATCTGAAAGTCACATTTTACCTAACAATACCTTCACGTGTATGCCGTCAAAAACATACTTCAATTTCATTTAATACATAACATGTCGCATAAATCCACTTATTAGGTACGAAACAGATATCTTTCACATGAAAATCTATTTATGTTCGTGAAATAAAGGGACAATTCAGCAATTGTGTGTTCTGTCAGTTTGATGTTGATTGTAGTAAAATAGTAGTTCAAAAGCCCAGTTTTAAAAAAGTAAAATTTCATTTGTAACAAGAAAAGATTTAGCAGCCACCATAAATAACATTTATTATTTCTCACTAGATTTTTATAGGTACATAACAATAATTATTACAATAATCTGAGTAATTAAGAGTAGAGTATTATAACCATAGTGACAATGACGTTTTCTCTAAAAACTTGTTAACCAGTTTTTCTTTACAAATGTTTTAAAGTAATTGATAATACTTATCTAGATCACCCGGTATACTTCCTCTAAGAATGAAAGATAGGCCATTTTTAATTTTTCAAATTGATTATATTACAACATAAAATTGGATGTTGGTCAATTGGATGTCGGTCAATTGGGTGTCGATCAATTGGGAGTCGGTCACTTGGCATGTCATTCAATTGGCTTGTTGGCAAATTTACCTGTCAGTAAATTGACCTGTTGGTAAATTGTATGTCCCTAAATTGTATATTGTCCAGTCGGTCAAATGTCCTGTGGATCGATTGGGTGTCGGCCAATTGGGCGTAGGATAATTGTCCGGAATTGTAGAGGTTCTTTTAATTTTTTTTGTCTATATCTTTTATTTTTTTGTATCATTTATAGGTATTGATTTTGTTTTTATTGTCTCATTGAAGATGACCACATCTGAGAAGTTAGATTCAATTCTTCTTTTACCCATACGTTATTTTGACTTTGGTCTTCTATTAAATATTTCAATTCCTTGCTATAATTTCTTTACATTTATAAAAAATATTTATTTTTTGAGATGTTTTAGTTTATTTAATTTTCACATACGAATAATTTTCTTTACTAATCAAATAAATAAATATAGTCCAGTCATTTAAGCTTAAATTAGGTAAGAATCTCGGAACTGGAGACACCCAGCTGTAAGTCTGTAAATACTTGTATATTGACACGCTAAAAGTTATCTCAAAACCTACATATGGTAGGGTGTACGCAACTATTAAATTTCAAGGTCAAATGTCACAAAAATCGGTTTTTTTTGCGCTTTTTTTGTAAATATCTCATTTTTTATGGGTTTTTTGCTATTTGTATTTATTATCAATATTGTAGAATACAAAATTCTCTACAAATTTTGTTTAAAAAAATTCAGATTACAGTAAGAACGTAAAAGCTATGGAGCAGCAGAGAAGATGAAACAATAGTTGTACCAGTTACTCAAGAAAAATTCTTATCAAATCGAAATAACAAAGATATGCTCATTAATAAGTTAATTGAAAAATTACAAGCTGCAAATATTACTACTAAACAAGCCAGAGATAATGCTGATGTTCTTATTGTTGAAACTGCAATTGAAGAATCAAATTCTGAAAAAACTGCAGTTATAATAGGACAAGATATTGATTTACTTGTCATTTTAATTGGGCGTACACAGTCTTACGAACAAGACATTTTCTTTAAAAAAGTTGGGAAAGGAAATGTAAAAACGGGGATATACTTGACTAAAAGTTTTGATAATTATCCTCATTCCAAAACACATATTTTATTTCTGCACGCATTGGTGCTGTGACACAACTTCTCCGCTTTTTAAAAAGGAAAAAATCATTTTTTAAAGTTTTTGAGAAACTGACAAATTTGAATGAACTAGCTGCAGAATTTGAGAAAGAAAATTGTTCGGCCCAGAGATTATTAGAGAGTGGAACTCAAATCTTATTGGCAGTCTATAATGCTCCGAAATCTGTGAAAAGTCTCGATCATCTTCGTTATATGCATTACGTCAAGTCTACAAAACTTAATTAACCTGTGCAGCTTTCAAATATTCCACCAACTAAAGCAGCTGCTCATCAACCTTTCAAACGTGTATATTATTAAGTTCAAACTTGGTTAAGGCATGATTTGGAACCCCAGGTATGGAGTTGGGCAATGCGAAACGATTTTCTGGAGCCTATTATGAGAATTTTACCACCTGCTCCAGAAGATTTGCTAAATACAATTTTCTGCAACTGCAAGAGTGGTTGTGGTTCGCGATGCGGATGCAGGAAAGCGGGCTTGCAATGCTCTTTAGCTTGTGGCCAATGTAATGGGCAAGCTTTTCTCAATGCTCTACCATATCAGAGCGACATTAACGAAGATGGAACCTTTGACCCCGAAATCATGGAAGAACTTGAGAGAAATGTCGTTGAAGACGATAATGAAGACCAGTTTGAAATTTACCAGCAGCCGGAAGACGACGATGAAGAGGAAGAAGATTATTAAAATTATAAATTGTAGTTTTTGTACCTTTTATTCCATTTTTTTACTTTTAATAAAAATAAATGTATTAAATGAAATTTTTTAATAAAAAGATTAATTCATAATTTATTTGTTTTTTTTTTTCATCATGTAAGAATTTATTAATATTAATTAGGTTAAAATTCAAATATAATTCCTATATTTTCATTAACAATTTTGCAATTACATGGGCAGGTAAGTGTTGTTAAATAAATTAATACTAAATAAAAAGTGGATAGGTTAGGAAAAAAAATGATAAAATATAATATAATAGTTAATAAAAATTGACAAATATTTATAATCATTGATTTATCGATATTTCATCAACTATATATGGCGCGTTTTCGACTGGAGGCACCGGTTGACCTGAAGTGATGCTGTGACCGCGCGCTCTCCGTCATCTATCTCGAAAACGGTTCACCGTATGAAAAATTTTTTTAAACAAAATTTTTAGAGAATTTTGTATTCTATAATATTGATAAAAAATACAAATAGCAAAAAACCCATAGGAAATGAGATATTTACCCAAAAAGCGCAAAAAACCGATTTTTGTGACCTTTGACCTTGAAATTTAATAGATGCGTACACCCTACCATATGTAGGTTTTGAGACAACTTTTAGGGTGTCAATATACAAGTATTTACAGACTTACAGCTGGGTATCTCGAATTCCGAGGTGAACTTACTATAATGATTGGACATTAAAAATAAAAATAATAAAGTAATTCGCTTGAACCATTTTTTCTAACTTTTCCCGTAGAAATAAAATCGTGATTAGATTTTGGGACGAATTGAAAGGCGTTAAGGGTGACTTGAATAAAAAATCATAAAATACAATTTGGAAGTTTAATAAAAAGTCAATATATTATTTCGTTTTACTGGAAAATCTACGTCAGAGCTTTACGCATTTTGCTTTCTCAATAAGAAAATGTCGATCATTTAGTAAATATACCTACTGCTCTTCGAACGCGTTAACGCGTTAATTTACAAGAGACTTTCCGTTATTCATTATTTGTTTTGTTGTTTACCTTTGTGGATTTTTATTTAATCTGCTCTTACATCGTACGTCTGTGAAATCCAATTAGTCTTTTTTGATTTGAGATATTTTATTAGATAAAAGTTTTCTGTAAAATATTAAATATAAAGAAATTGAAGCCATGTAGATCAAATTGTAGAAATACTAACAATATTGTTTAAAATATTTCAGTAATTTTTTATTTATTTAGTGACATTTCACTTAATTGAACTCTAACTACTGTCCAAAGAGGTTCGTTCGAAAGGGTAGAGGTAACATAGGAAACATTTGCCATTGCGTGAATTTTGCCAAAATCGAAAAACTGAGATGTTCTGGGCCGGACTTAAATATTTATATTGTATCTAATTTTGATAAGTAATTAAAAGATGAAAAATTATGAGACATCTATTTGATTTTCATTTGTTAGCACGATTCATTTATGATGAGGGCAATAACACTTTATCAATATATAGCTAGTAGCTAAGGGCCGATTCCACCGTTGTGATAAACGAAGTTTAAATTACTAAACGAAGATTAAAAAGACATTCTTAATGTAAAAATATCATTTTAATCACCGTTAAATTTGGTTATAAATATTTCTAAATATTTTTTATCGAAACTTTCGAATAATTTTGAAAGAAGAATTATTATTTTGCGATATGTATTTTGTAATTTACTTCGATACAATTTCATTCAGTCCCGGATTTTATTTTGGATATTACCTTTAACCTATTCACAGAACTTTCTTAGAATAGCGGCAACCCTCTGTCAGTAAACCATTCAAGGGAATATGAAACCGAACATATAGAAACTATTATGGGTATTAGGCAAGATAACAAGATCTATATGGTTTAAACCGCTTTCGTCCCTTCTCAGTCCACATTTCACCTTAACACTC